GATGCGGGGCTCGATCCCAGGACCCTGGGATCATGACCTGAACTGAAGGCAGATGCTTAACGACTGAGCCACCCAGGCGCCCCTGGAGTTGTTATTTTAAGTATCTGGAGGGAACAAGATGAGCAATGGGGCAGTTGGTCAGGAGGCTGGGAGGTGATGGGGGCGCAGACCACGCTAAAGGCAGTGGAGGTGGAGGGAAGCAGAAGAGCCAAGGTGAACTTTGGTTGTAAGACTGAGAGGCCTTTCTGTCGACTTGGGTGTGGAGAGGAGGCAGAGGGAGGAGTCAAAGTTGCAACACAGTTTTTGGGGGTAAGTTATAGGGTAGGGGGAGCTACTTCCTGATATAGGGAAGACTTTGGGAAGGACCTAGTTTGGGGTCGGGAGGCAGAAGTTAGAGCATTCACATAGAGGCATCGTGGGCAGTCAAGCTTGGAGCTCAAAGATATAAATTTGGGAGATTTCAGAGTGTACATGGTATTTAAAGCCTCAGGGATGGACAAGATCGTATGGTGCACAGTAGGTAGGTACTTCGTATATGATATGTGTTTTCATTAACCGAGTTAGAATTTTATTTTGCATTCTTATTCACTTATAAAGACCCAGCATAAATGCTGCTGTCTTAGTCTGCCAGGGTTGCTGTAATAGAATACCAATGACGAGGTGGCTTGTACAACAGAAATCTATTTTCTCACAGTTCTGGAGGCTGGAAGTCCAAGATCAAGTTACCGGCAGGTTGATTTCTGGTGCAGCCTCTCTCCCTGACTTGCAGATGGCTGCCTTCTTGCTGTGTCCTCACATGGCCTTTCTTCTGTGTGGACACACTCCCGGTGTCTCTTCCTCTCCTCCTAAGGACATCAGTCCTGTTGGGTTAGGGCCCCACCTTTATGAAGTCACTTAACTTTGATTACCCCTTTAGAGGCACACTGGGGTTAGGCCTGCAACATAGTGATTTGGGAGGGACACAGTTTGGTCCATAGGCCAGCCAGGAAGCCTCTCCTCATCACCTTTGCCAAAAGTGGCCCCTTAACACTTGTATCACTCATGTGCATGCACCGTAAACTCTCTCGAAGAGTAGCCTTTTGCGTACTTGTATGAATTCTCCAACTAGCTGGTGAGTACCTGGAAGGCAAGGATCCTGTCTTGTACATCTTTTTATAAGGTCCTCGGACCACATCTTAGTATATGTGCTGCCGAAGCGAGCACCTCGGACCACATCTAATAGAGGGATATTCAAGTAGGTTCTGGAGACATGGACTCTAGTTGCTCACTTTGGACAAAAAGCCCTGATGTCCAGAGGTGGGAATTAGGGGCCTTTTCTTCTCATGTATTGTTTCTTAAAAACAGGAACACCTTTCCCAGAAGTCTCCCAACAGATCCCCCTTGGTCTCATTGGCCAGAATTGTGTCTCATGTCCATGCCTGAGCCAGTCACTTGGCAGAGGCCTTGTGCTCAGAGCCAACAATGGCTGAGATCAATCAAGATCCCCCCTGGGGCTAGGGAGGGGCTCTGCCTCCCTGAAGAGCACAGCCCCAAGGGGTCAAGTGAACAAAATGCTGCTCTTTTGACAAAGGAGAATGGGGAATGGCTGTTGGGTAGGCACCTAACGGGGTCTACTGTAGATAGCCACCATTAGGCTAGTCCAAACTTGAAGAGATAGCCCCTAGAGGGAGTCTGGGTGGGTGCAGGTGCCTTTATTTGCTCGAGAGGAGCTGAGAGGGACTGTCTCCAGGCCAGTCCCAACTTTGCTGAGGGGGAATCCCTGTGGTGAGCAAGACCTTGATCTGGCCTTAGCCCTCAGGCAGGATGACCCACAGCTGTGGGGGGAGGCAGTGGGGGGACAGCCAGCCTCAGTGCCTGGCTTCGTTTTGAGATGTTCCAGTCTGATAGCTCCTGCCTGAGGGACATTTCGAGTTTCACAGCCACTCAGTTATCAGCAGCACACACATGTTCCGGAAAGGGCTGAGAGTCCTGCTTGTGCACAGAAGGCGGCCATGTGGGGAAGCCTTTGGCAGCACAGCCGGGCCCCTCCTTGTGACTTCAATTAGCACCAAGCGTCTCCCCATTCCTTATCTCTGCTGACCCTTTTGGTCCAGCTGGGATGTGGGCACGGAGGGTATGAGCATTTCCAGTTTTGAGATGAGGGCACTGGGTTAGAAGGGATGAAAGGACTTACCCAGGGTCACAGTCCTGCTGGGAGGTGAGAGGCAGTAGGGCCTGGTGGTGAGGGCATGGGCTCGGGAGCTGGATTTAGGGCTTCAAATCCTGACTCACCACTTACTAGCTGTGGCCCCTGTGCGGGGTCCCTAACTTCTCAGTGCCTCGGTTTCCTCCTCTCAAATGGGGGTGATACACTTGCCTGATAGGGTTATCGTGAGGATCAAATGAGTTAATGCCTACAAGCATTTTCTCTGGGGACTGAGAAGAGGTCAGAGGTGTACTGTCGTGCTCAGGGCTCTGGCTGGGGGCCGTTGTTTGCCCAGAGCCGTGCAGAGTTCAGGGACAGGGAAGGGCGGGAGGCCAGACTTCACACTCAGACACCAGGGTAGGGTAAGGGCTAGCCCTGGCTCCTGCTCTTGGGGCTTTGGGACCTCCAGCGCTGGGCCGGCTGAGACTGGCTCAGCATGGAGGACTGTGATGGGCAGTGGCTGTATGGGCAGCAGGGGCTCTGGGTAGGTCTGGTGGGCTGCAGCGGCAGGCAGGATATAGAGCAGGACTTTGGAGTTGGGTTGGGGTCAGAAGCTCAGATCTATGAACTGCACCAGCCTGAGCTTGGCTGAAGGGATGGGGGACATGACTCCGAAGGTCCCGGCTTCCAGGGCTCCTTCCAAGCCTGGCCTGAAATTGGTGGCAAGTGGGAAAAAGCCTTGGGGAGTAACACACAGGTGAACCCCTGGGCTGAGAGGCTGGCGAAGTCCAGCCTCATCTAGGGATTGGTGAGGAAGGAGACTACCTGCCCTAGTCGGTACGGGCTTATAGGCTTGGAGGATGGGTATTGGTGACCTGTGGGAAGCCAGGGATGGCAGAGGCCCCTGCTGATGTGTTCTTGTACTGCGTCCAATGCTTGGCCAGAAGTTGGGGTGAGATGTCTTTTCCACGTCTGTCGGACTACGAAGCCCCTTGTGTTGAGCTTCCCCCTGGGGAGGTTCCTAGTGGTGCTGAGGCAGCCATGCTAGGAGCTCCCTCCTGGAGCTTCCTTGCAGCCCCTCAGCCACCAGCTGCCCTGACACCTACCACCCTGGGCCCCACTCTCCACACCAACTCCCCATGTCTGTCTCCCTGTTGCTGCTTCAGGATGCAGAGATCCGCAACAATGCAGCCAGCTACCTCCCCCAGATCAGCCAGCTCCTCAACCATGTGCCTCGCCAGATGCTGCTCATCTTCAAGACCAACGACCTGCTCCGTGGCATTGAGGTCGCCCTGGGCACCCGTGCCAGGGCCAGCTCCTTCCTCAGCATGTCACGTTGCTGCATCAGAGCGCTGGCCGCGTGAGTGCGGGCTCCAGCCTCTCCTCCCCTCCCAGCTCTCTGGCCTGCCCCACGGTGGGGGGGGTGGTGGTGGTGTACTGTTCGCCTCCACTTTCTCCCACCAGTCCCCAGGGCCCTGCCTGAGCTCCCCAGTCTCCAGCTCTCCCTGGAGGAAGAGTTTGGGGCAGGAAATGACTCCAGCGAATTCCCCGGTTCTGGGCGGTGTGTTTGAGTGGTCCAGAGAGCCACCTGTACTTTGTCAAACTGGTGGGTTCTAGGACATCACCCTCCTAGTTAAGCTTTCCAGGTGATTCTTACCCTCAGTAAATTTTGAAATGTTTTCTGAGAGTCTCAGTCCCATCCAAGTGTCCCCTGGACTTGAAATCAGGACACCCTGATGTGCATCCCATCTCTAACTGGTCCCAGGACCTGTCTTCCCAGCATTGGCTAGGCAGCAAGGCCAGTGTTCTTTCCCTGCGGGTGTGTCCATGACTCGGGAGTGTCACCAGCAGGCTCACTGGGGATCTCAGATCTTTATAGATGCCTCAGTACCCTTGGAGTGTTGGTGAAGGGAGGGAAGGTGCTTCCTCAGGGAGATATTGCTAGAGAAGTGAGGGTTCTAGGCCCTTCTTCATGAGTGTGCAGATACATGGGAAGAGCCATGCTCTGGCTGAATTTTCTCACCTGAGAGGGGAGCCCAAGACTGGGGTCAATTCCCATCCATCCTATGCAGGGAGTGGGTCATTCTGGCAAAGTGTCTGGTGAAGGGAGCATTGGGCAAATACATCATGCACCCATGATCAGATATTGAATTAGATTATAGCAAAATAGACTGCACACAGAGAAGGCTGAACATGATTTAACCAACTGAGCCACCCAGGCGCCCCTGAACATGATTTATTCTTCCTTTGAACGTTCTGGAAACGAAGTCTTGATTTTCATCCTGTCCTTTTGTTAGTGCAGAAGGGATTGAGCTGTGGGCTGACTCCATACTGGGCTCAGCCTCTCAGGACCACCTGACCTAGTTTCCAGGTGATTTAGCCTCAGAAAGTTTGGGAAAGCTTTTATATTTGAGTTTGGGAGGTTCAGGATTGGCATGTATTTACTAAACATATGGAAAAAGGGAAACATGGGAATGTTCTACCCAGTGGGTCCACTAGGCCTTTGATGCCCAATGAAACAACTGCTTTTGTTTACCCCACTTATCTGGAAAGCTCCTGTAGAGTAGTTGAGTTCTTCTAGTCCCTGGGTGGGCAGTGTCATGATCATGTAACCAGGAGTCATCCACCGGGGCGGGGGTATGGTGAGTAGGCTAAGCCACGACCTTCCATTGTTCTAAGTGATAATGAGCCTTCTTGCCCATTTCTCTCTGGTTCTCTCCTTCCTTCTTGTCCTTCCTGCAGGCACAAGAAGAAGAACACCTGCTCGTTCTTCAGAAGGACCCAGATCTCTTTCAGAGAGGCCTTCAGCTTATGGCAAATCAACCTTCATGAACTCATTCTGTGTGTGAAGGAGTTGAGGTTGGCCACCTGGGTCTTGGCCCTGCTTCGCCGGCTGTTGCCCACTTCATACTGAGCGGACTTGCTGTCCCCTTTCCCTTTCCAGGGTGACTCTGTGGTGGGCAAGTGGACTTTCCACTCCTCACTCTTTTGTCATGTCCCCAGCCAGGTACCCTGTTTCTGTCACATGGTAACCTGGAGCCCCACAGTCACTGTCCATGGCAGAATTACACTCCGCCTCCAGAATCCCTCTCCTACACTGCAGGGCTTGTCTCATAGGCTGTGCAAGCTGTCCTATGCAAGAGGTTGCTCTCCTTATCCAGGGAGACGGCATAAACAGTCTGTTTCCCACTCCTGGTGGGCGCCACTGGGCTGGATGTCCCCTCTGGTGGGTGCCACTGAGCTGCAGGTCCCCCTACTTCCGGTAATCATTCCTACTGTCAGGATGGACCACGAATCCCACTGACTTCCTACATGAATTTCTCCATTTAACTTGTGGGAAGTTGGATTTTGTTGGAAGAGAGCACAGTTTCTGAGTTGCACGGAGCAGCTTCCCTCTCCTTGCCCTGTCATTCCCAGAGGTGTTGCACCTGAGCAAGGTGACTTGGCATCCGAGGCATGAGTTCACGGCTGTCCTGGTGACCCCTTTGGTGTTTTATGTACTGCATTTCAATAAAAACCCCTTCAGGGTCGCAGGGAAGGGCTTTGTTTGTGGGATTTTTATTCTAGATTGGGAGTGAATCCACACTGGCTGTTAGGTAAGAGTGGACCTGGATGCCGTGGGCCACTGTGTTCTACTTGTCATCTTGCCCCTGTCATCCTTCCAGCCTTTCCCTGTGTGACCACTTCCTGCCCCTTGTAGGTGTTTCTTCCTTTCCAAGACTCTGAGACTGTGGTTGGAGGAGTTAAGAAGCCCAAGGCCAGGAACTCAGAGGCTCTGCTGAAGCCTCTGACTTGGGTTTCCCTGCGTTCTCACCACGTTCCCTGTGAGTGGGCACCTGCTTTGTTCTACTCATTGCTTCCTGACTTAGCCCTTTGGTTCGTCATTTGATGCCCGTCCTGGAGACTGTAGTGTAAGCCTCAGCCACTGTGGCTAGGGTTCCACTCTGAAACCTCCCTGTCACCTATCTGGACTCCATGTTTCCACCTCTTGCCCACCTGCCAGAGTTGCCCTGCCCCCACTCAGTCATCCGCTCCTGTTTCTGGGACCTCCCCGAACTCCTGCTGTAACTCCAGGTCCATTGGCAGGTCCTACTATTCCTGTGCTCGCGGACGGTCATTGTATTTGAGTCTCTCTGATCTTACTTCACCCCATTCACAGGGGCAGGAAACTGCTAAATTTGAGTCTCCTCTTCTCTTTATTCATAATACAACAAGCAGATTTTCCACTGACCAGAGATTATTTGCAATCCCTTTATTTCCTGAAAGAATTAATTGTTCTTAGTGACCAGTTGGATGCACCCAGGGACCTGAGAGAATAATTTGCAAGATCTGTTATTAATCATGAGGATGCATGCTGCATATTACATTTTATGGTGTCTTTTATAGCCACAGAAGTAAATATAAATGTTCAAGGTAATGGTTACTCGCTTTTCACTTTTAGTTTAATGGTCGGCTTCCTGCTGTCCTGGGATCTAAAACATCAGCATGTTGCCAGTGGGCCCAGCACCCAGGACAGTTAACCAGGGAGAGTAAAGAATCTGGGAGAGTTTGGGGTTTAGGGCAACTTAAAAGTAGGAGGGAAGTTAGCTGATGATTTTTGAGTGCCTTTCTCGGGGAGAAACCATGCTGGGCTCTTTGTAAAAAAGTTACATCATTGAATTGTTCCATCAGCTCTGTGAGGGGGAAGGTCATGAGAGGGAAGGGTCATCTCCATAGAGATAGGAATCAAGGCTCAGGGAGGGTTAGTAATTTTCCTGAAGTCACACAGCTGTTAAGTGGGGGCCCATGCTTTATTTTTTATTCCTCAGTGCTGTAGATCTACATCACACTCGCTCTTTGGCCTGTCAGACGTGCCCGTTTGAGAGAGAGATTATGATTGAGTCTCAAAAACCCTGATTTCAGAAGGGATTGGGTTTTCTGTGGAGGCAGGGGAGTCCAGCATACTGGCTGGGGCCCAGGGCAGGGCGGAGCTGGCCCACTGTGGCCTGCATGCAGTTCTGACACTGACCATTCCAGAGTTAGTGCTGAGTCCACAGGCTTCAGGGTGTAGTTCCCATAAGACGGTTCTCACTTCAGACACAGGCTGCAGGTTTGGGGGGGTCACCAGGACACACGCACTTCTGACCAACTGGCTTTAAATGTGGGTGTTCCCACACCCCCAGACTCAGTAATTTGCTAAAATGGACTCAGAACTCAGGAAAGCAATGTACTTAGGATTACAGTTTGATCAGGACCAGCCAAATGAAGAGGCACATGAGGCAAGGTCTAGGAGGATCCTGAATGCAAAGCTTCCATGTCCTCTCCCGTGGCATCAGGACACATCACCCGCTCGGCGTATCAGTGTGTTCACTGAGCTTTAGTGTTCAGGGTTTTTATTGGGATTTCCTTGCATAGACATGATTGATGGAATCGCTGATCACATGATTGAACTCAGTCTCCAGCCTGCCCTTCTCTCTCCTCCTTGCAGAAGGTGGGCTGATATCACCCCCATCCTGGGTCCTCGAGTAAAAACTCAGGTGTGATCCGAGGGGTACACCCTGAAAAACAGGAACACTCCTGTTGCTGAGAAATTCTGAGGAGCTACAGTTATGTCCCAGGAGCTGGGGACAAAGACCAGACAGATTCTTTATTGTACAATAACCACTCTGGTGTCTTCTTGTCCTGTGCCCTTGGCCCGAGGTATGTCTTTATGGACTGACTGCGCAGGCCTGTGCCTTCTGGTTGGCCTGGGTGGAGACATATCTGGAGCCCAGATTCCCTCCCTGTCTCTGTTCTGTGGGTCAGCGACAGCATGGCTGAGCTTCTGTGCAGGACCTTGCTCTGATCCCTTCTCTGGCCTCTGGAACTTGCCCTGAATTGATTTGGGTTTGATGTTTCCCAATAAAATCCTGTGACTTCCCTCTCCCAGCAGTGACAACGTGTCACGTTGGGAAGTCACCACCAGCTTACCTTGAAGAGTGTTTTCCCTTTTAACACTTAAATACTTACTCAGTTTAGGTGTGGGCTTCTTTGATTTGGGCAACATGGATATTTTTCCCCTTCCTCTTTTCAGGTGGAGTAGAGAGAAATGTCAACTCTGTGGCCAGGTGTCTAGAGCTTCTCAGGTGTGTGCTCAGTTCATAGTAAGTTGAGAATCCTGGCTTGTCCTAAGTGCTAAATAAACATGTAAGTATTTCGAATCTCAGAATACTTTTATCTTCAGGGCTGTTGAAATCTGTATATTAAGAGCAAACTACATGTGCCACTCCTCCTCTGTTAAGAATATTGCCTGTTTGGTTACAATGTTAATTTTGGCGGAGCTCCCAGCCCACTCTCAGTCCTCCAAGAATGTAAGCAGCCCATGAATGACCTCTCAGAAAGCCAAAGGGGCTCCTAGAGGCACCCAAGCAAATCCCTAGGGGCAGGACTCATTGGGAGGTTGAGCATTACCCTCCATGTGAGCAATTATGAGAAGAGTTAGCTGGAGCCCTGGAAGGGGCACTTGGGGCTTACATGGTTTCCAGGTGTAGCCATGAGGCACTAGGGCTTAAAAATTGGGAACTGGGGATGGGACGAGACCCTAACAGGCAGGACGAACAAAGCCACAGAGAGTGGTGTGTTCTTCACAGCCTGACCTTTTGGAGTGGTGGTGTTGGTTGGGCTGGACCAGGAGGACCTGTATTCAGTGAGAGTCCTCGAACGCCAGGCGCCCTGCTGCTGACAGGTAACCCAGCCTGACCTTGCAGTTGTCTCCCAGTGTCCAGAGGGGGTAAGTCAGTCTCACCTATGATTATTTTATGAATAATTGTTATTATTAGCCCCCATGGCAGATGCCATTCCCAACCCTGTTAGCTTTTACCTGCCCTCTGATTGAGAGGCTGAAGAGTTGAGATCTTGTTTTCCTAGCCTCTCTTGCAGCTAGAGGTGACACATGACATGAGAAATGAAGGGGAATCTCATTGAAGGCTTCTGGGAAATTTTTCTTTAGAAATTGATAAGAGTGTCGTTTTTTATTTTTTTAAGATTTTATTTATTTGACAGAGAGAGACACAGCGAGAGAGGGAACACAAGCAGGGGGAGTGGGAGAGGGAGAAGCAGGCTTCCTGCTAAGCAGGGAGCCCGATGCGGGGCTTGATCCCAGGACCCCGAGATCATGACCTGAGCTGAAGGCAGACGCTTAACTACTGAGCCACCCAGGTGCCCCAATTAGGGTGTCATTTTTTAGTGTTGCCCTTCTCTGCTCCTTCTTGTGGGGGAAGTTGGTATGTGGTTTTGGATATCTGAAACTATAGAAGCCATTTTGTGACTTTGAGGCAGTAAGTACGTGACTTTTTATTTGGGCACCTGTCATTTCCTGCTGAATGCCAGACAGCCTTCCCAGGTGTGTATGGATCTTGGAACAAATGACATACAAGCATTGATGGATGTGAGGTAAAGCTTATTGCTTGTATAGTAACTAGCAAAAGGATTACCCTGGGAGAAGGCTCAGGTTTGGTCTGGAGTGAAATGTGAGTGAGGCATGGTAGGGTCAGGGTAGCTCTGGTTTTTCTTGGGGCAAGACCAGGATGAGGGCTCCTCTGTGGGGGCCATGGTTTCCATGATTTGAACTTTTCCACCAGTGTCAATGGAGGGAACACTTGGGGTTTCTTATCGGTTTGCCCACACTTGGGGCCAAAGGGAAGGGGAAAGGTAGAGCTTAAAAGCTGTCAGGGTCAATGTCAAAAATGCAGTCAGACTCTCACACCCATGAAAGTCCAACAGGCTGAGGATAGCCCACCAGAAAGGTGGAAGGAGCCTGGATCTTGGATGAGCCCCCTGCTAGGTGGTGAGTGTGGCCATGTACTATTTGCAAGAATAGACATGCGATAAATATTTGTTGGAGAAATGAATGTGAAGGGGGTGCTTTTAGAGGATGGGGAGGCTTTCTTCTGAGTGTTGTTTAATCAAATGCTCCCTACACCCATGGCTTAAAGGTGGTGGTCAGGAGCCCCATGCTAGGTCATGGTGATCTGACCATTGAGTGGCTTGAAACAACACAGATTGGTTATTTTATCCTTCTGGAGGTCAGAAGTCCAAAAATCAAGGTATCAAACAGGCTGCATCCTTTCTGAAAGCTCTAGAGGAGGATCCTTTTCTGGTTTCTAGAGGCTGCCTGCATTCCTTGGCTCATGGCTGGTTCTGTTCTACCTCTTCTTCGTTATAGCTCTTTCTCTGATTCTGACCCTCCTGCCTGCCTCTTATAAGCACCTTGTGATTACTTCGAGCCCCGCTGAATAATCTGGGAAGATCTCTGCCTCTCAAGAGCCTTAACGTAATCACCCCTGCAAATGCCTTTGACTACCATGTAAGGTAACATTTGCAGGTTCCAGGGAATAGAAAGTGCACATCTTTGGGGTGGGGGGGAATGCTATGCTCTCTATCATACCATTGAATCCCGTGGGTAGGCTTGGGAAAGCTACGGTAGGCTTTGTTCCAGGTAGAAGAGTTAGTAATCAGTAAATGACAAAATATTAGCAATAATAATAGCTAATTCTGAGCACCAACCACACTCTAGCCTTTTTGCATGGACTTGATGGCACTTAATTCACATGATAACATAATGAAGTCTAGGGGCCACTATTATCCCCTTAGTGTAGGTGAATAACCTGAGGCACAAAGGGCTTGGGTTGCTTGCTGGAGGCACACAGGCAGTGAATGGTGGAGGCAGGCTCTGAGCCAAGGTGGTCCGAAGCCAGAGCTGGGGCTCTCAACCTCTGACTTCCCATTTTCCTTGGTAAAGGACTGCTTCCACCAAGCCTGCTGGAAGCTGAACTCTCCCTGCCTTCCCACAACCTCCTCAGTCTGGAGCCGGGGGCATGGGGAGAGGGGAGCTCTTTCAGTGGGTTTAGTTGGGCCGGGACACCACATGAACAGTCATCTCTCTGCAGAGGGTGGGCCTGTGTGGTCCAGACCTCACCCGGCCAACAGCGCCTGGAACACCAAGCCCCTCAGGCCGCTGTGGACGCTGGGGTATGACCCCTTCTAGGGAAAGCCTTATACAGGGAGCTAAGAGTGGCAGGATTCCACTGTGCCCCATGGAAAGTGGGAATGTAGAGGGCTTCTGCCATTTTCACCTCTTCTGTCTCTCCCAAGTATGCAGGGAGAGGTGACAAAACAGGGGGAGGGGAGAAACCATCAATGTGGGGCATTTTAATGAGCTGATTAGAAGTGAATTCTGACTTAAAACAGTTAATGCCTGTAATAATCTGATGGCAAGGTGTGTCCAGAGCAGACTCAGATCTTTTTCCTACCTTTGGCCTGGACCAGGTTCTCTGGGCAGTGGCCAGTGTTGTCCACACTGAGCCAGGCCGCTGGAGGTCAGCCCGGTGCCCTAGTTTGCTATCACTGGACAGGTTGCTTTGGTCTCGGTGCTTCTGTTTCCCCTGCTTCCCATAGGTTGCCCTTCTCAGAGGGCTGTGGTGAATGTGAATAGGTAGCACCAGTGAAAGTGACAGGGAAAAGCAGCTCTAAGCAACTAATAGGTAAATGCACAGCATGCAAATAGACAGTTTATCTACCCAGCAAACCTTGCAGCTTTAACAGAACTCCCCTTCCCTGCAGAAACACCTATTCTTGCAAGTGTGCTGATCCAGGATCTCCCAGAAACCATGGAAGTAGACAGATGGCCACCTCTCTGGAAACTGAGATTGGTTCTGGTAGGGATTCATGACCCCAAAGACCTTCCTGTGACTTCAGCTAGAGCTATGGAGAATGATGACCTTTCCCCTGGTTTCTAAGCTCCGGTGGCTATCTTGTCTGCCTCATTCTTTGAACCCCTAGATCAAGCCGTTCCTGTAGGCCAAATCCATCCTTGATTTTTCCATGACTTGA